ATTAAAGTCTTATCAAACTAAAGAAAGGAAAAACATAATCATTATATTTTAGAGAGAATCAATCTTTTTAAAGAAGTTCCTACTAGCTACTTCCTCTCCTCTATCCCTTTTTATGGAGCATCTTTTATCAACTATATTCTTAATTGTTTAGAAGGTTAATGTTTTGAAAAATTAAATTTTTTTAATGAAATTTTGATGTTAAATTTTTATTAATTAATAAACGTAAGATAGTAAATTTATTATATCAATTGTTATTTTCTTAAATAAGTGTATCAATACTACATAGAAATATAGGATTACCTGAATTGTGAAAACAGATAAAGAACCAATTTTGTTTAGGCTTTTTTTGGCAGAAGGAACAACAGATTGAACCAAACAAACCATGGATTCCCATTGATTCCTGTTCAATGAGTCTCCTACAAACATGAGTCTCTTGTTCCTCAATTTCTCAAGAAGCAATCTTGGTTTAAACCTGAAATTCTTTTTAATTAAATGAGTAAACACATAAAGTACGTAATAGCTGACAAATACCTCCCTAAACAATTTCGAACTGGTGATATTATTTGTCTTACTTGGGTAAAGAACAGTCTCTGGGTTGCCATCTCCAGTTCTGATACATAGAATCCTTTCTTCCATTCCTCAAGCAAGTAACTTGAGAAGTAAGGAACTCACATTGATCTTCTTTGTAAATTGGGTGACTTATATTATCATAAACCCAATTCCCTGTAAACAGATCGCAATCATCAGGTGGCAATTCAATGTTCTCATCCTCAGCCATTTCAATGCTCTGTTCTATCTCTGTCTCGACTATCGTCCTTGAGTTCATTACCATTGATGGTGAAACTCTGTTTTCATCACTTTCTAATTGAATTTTGGGTCTTGAGAATGGGAATTCTGCTATGGACTTGAAATCTTCGTTGTATATGAAACAACTAAACAAGAATATGGAGAAAACCACAACGACTATTGACAGGTTATTGTTCTTCTGTCCGCCGTGCTTCATGTCTGTCTGTTGAGATGGGAAATGCCACTAACTGCTAATAATTGAAAATATAAACAAAAAAATAGCATCCCTAACTTTTTTTTCTTTTTCTGGTTATATTTATATTAAAGAATTTTTATTTTTGTGTTACCAAAAGTATTTGGTGAAATGGGGTTTTCACAAAGATGTTGAATTAGTAGAAAATTGTCATTCTCAGATTTTGGTATTTGTTTTAAACGAACAACTACCATTGTTGGATGTGTGATGTGTGATGTGAGAGAGATTGGGAGAGAGGAGTGATCTCAAAGCTTTATTCATCTCTTTCTTTTATCTTTCTAGATTCTCCAGTAGAACCAACGAAAAAACTTATTCGCATAGGGTGTTTACATTAAATTAATATAATTTTTATTATTACGTGATTTGATGAAGTAAAACATATATTAATTAATGATGATTAAGTAAAATAAAAATTATAAATTTAAACACATTATGTATTGACTATGTGTATATACCCGGTACGTGTAAGTATTATTCAAACTAATCCATTAGCATCAATTACGAATATATTTTATATATATATATATATATATATTTCAAAAAAAAATATCATATTTTAAAAATATCTGAAAAACATCAAGATCATGTAAACTATAAAATATTATAAACTAGAGTGTATCAAAATAATTACCCTCTTAATGTAAAACTTTTTTATGTAAGTTCTCTTAATTTTTTTATACCAATTGATCATGTTTTTATAATACATGGAATGATATCTATTATTATTTTCAAAAGCAAGTTAGTAGACAAGCCATAAGTTGTTTCACAAATTTTAATACGGGAAACTTACATAAATATATTATAATAAAAAATATTTATCATTTATAGTAATAATAATTTTTTCACTTGATCACTTTTAATTCATTTATAATACAAGTTTAATTCATATTACAAAGAACAATTTATTATTCACATATAATACAAATTTTAATGATGAATAATACATTTATCACACATTTTAATACACTTATAATATAATGTGACAATTTTTTACCAAACAAACATGATATATTTCAAAAAACAATTATAATTCATATATATTGCATACATAATTCACTTTTAATACATATTATAGATTTAACAAAGCATTATTATAAATGATAATAAACAAAAAGTATCGCTAAAATCAGTAATTATTTTTTAAAATATATTAATTTATGCAATTTTTACAATTTGGGACATTAACTTCAAATAAAATATCAAAATTTCAGGGCAAAATTTTCAAATAAAATAAAATTTATTCTTAAAACGTGAATCTTACTTCAATAGTCAAACAGTAACTAAGAAGTGGAAAAAAAAAAGAGGGACTATCCAAATATTTTATTTTTACAATTTTCATATCAACAAAAAGAACACATAGTTACTAGGACAAAATTTACTCTGTCCTTTAGATTTAGTGAGTCTTATATTAAAAATAGTTCTAAAAAATAGTCAACATTAACTACTTATTCCGCAGATCATTTTTAAGACATAAAATTCTATACTTAATTAATAAAAAACACTGATTAATTTGTAGAAACATGTAAAACTTAAAATTCAGAAATAAAAATAAATAAAAATAGATAAGACAATATAAATGGAGTCCACAAAATATTTTCATGGTCCCAACTTCTGAATGATAGTAAGCAGGCATATTAACAGCCTCCGCTCGGAGATGGCTCGACAGTGTTAACAAAAAAAAACGTCTCTTAAGCCTCTAAATTTAAAAAGCCTTATTTTTAATAATTATAGGTTATAAAAGTTATTATTTTTTAACAAATATTGAATATTAATTGTAGAAAAAGTAAATTTTTCATGAAAAATGATGGAATTATAGAAGAAATTTGACATATTTAAAGTATTATATCTCATGAAAAATAATTTAAAATAAGGATGATTATATTATCAATTAAAAACTAAAAGAAATTAATTATATAAAGTTATTGACGATTCAAATTTAAGGCCCCTTTTAATTTTTACTTTAGGTCATTAATTTGCTTGAGCTGCTCCTGCTTCCACTTAAAATCACACATTTATTGCCAAGTATATAATAATGTAATATATCATGATCAATTATGGCAACTTCTTATTGCATTTCATGTATTGCATAAGAAAATAATTTTTTTAATCTATAATATCCTCAATTTATTATTTTAAAAACGGTAAAACTTTTTGTAAATCTTAACTTTCTAATTTATTCACTTCATAATTAATATAATTAATATGGATAAAATTGTAAACTCACTATGTCAATCATTATTGCATGTGTAATGTGTTGATAAGATACAATTGAGACCTTTTTTGACCTGTTGAAATCATAATACTCTATAATACGAGTATATATTAATTAAAACTGACCAAATTATGTTTACCAATTTATGATGCCACAAAATATTGAAACCAAATTTCAAAATATCGAAATCGAATTTCAAAATATCAAACTATACCAAATAGCAATTGATATGGTAGTGGTATACTAGTTTTAAAAATCAAATATTAAGATTACGTAATCAAATTTCAAAAATCGTATCATATCATATCATATCCAACCCTATCAGCTTCTATGTAATACACCCTCCATGCACTATTAATTGTCATACTTTCCATATTTAGAGTTAAATTATAAAATTTTTGACTAACATCTTAGGATATATATTTTTTCATCATATTGATATGTAAAAAATTGCAATGTATAATACCTTTTGTAAAGTTTTTGAATATATAAAGTTTTTGTTTAAAAAATCAAATAAATATGATCTAATTTAATTAGAAAATAAATCAAATTGATTTTTTAAAAACGTTACATACAAAGAAAAGTGGACGGATAGACTAGAATAATAATAATAATAAAATTTATGAAGCTGTTGAACTACGACTCTAATTAATACACAAATGTATTAGTCTCCATCCATTTTATTTTATTTGTCCTTGTATATAGAATTAAGAATAAATTTATTTCTAATTATTGATTATACTGAATCAAGAGAACTATAGTATTAATTAAATTTAAAATTTTAAAAACAATTAATAAGGTTAATTTAGTAAAATAAAATTTTAATAAATATTTATTAAGTCAATGTGAACTAAATAAGATGAAGCTCATGGATATATTATTAGTTCCTCATTTTCAATTAATTGTCATAAATTTTAAAATATTTACCTCAAATTATTTAATTATTTTAAAAGTTCAAATACAACTAGTATTTTGCTATTAATCATAAGGAAAAGGTCTGAAATATATCCGTATTTTGACTGAAATTATTGTAACAACATCGAACTTTAGAAATGACTTTTTAATCCCTACACTATTTTATAATGTATTTTTAAAGATATATATATATGCCCACGTGAACATCGTAAATATTGCATCATTATAAGTTGTAATGTATCCACGTGGATACATATATACCTTTATAATGTACTAAATAATACAATAGATAAATAATTCTTATAGCATCTAGTATCAGAATCTTAATTTTGCCCAAAATTAAAAAATATAATTTAGATCCTTTTCCGTTAATTAAACAACTAAAAGATCACGGGAGAAGGGTGGAAAAAGTAGTTGTTGCACCATTAAACGATAATGAGGTTAAGCTAAGGGTCAAAAAGTATTGGTTAGCTTTTTATTTATATTTGAGAAAAGCAAAAGCTACGGAAGCTTTTCTATATCGTATTCGTATGACACCGACAATTTTCTATAGTGTATCCCTTTCTTTTCAAGTTAAGGCAACTTCCTACTATTGCCTTTTTCTTTTCAATTCCCAACTTACTCACTTATTTTTGTATTGTAGGCGAATTTAAAATTTAAAATTTATGTATTTTTAATTAAAAAAAGATTATGCAATAATGATGAGATAAAAATGAGTATTGAAACTCTGTATATAGTTAAAAAGTAAGAACTATTTAAACATAAGATACTAAATAAACATTACTATTACAATTATATTCGATGATTGTCATGTTTTGAAGAGTATCAGTGCTCGCATAAATTGATATACTTTCAAATATTTGTTTTCTCTATAAAACAACTATATAATCAATCAAAAAAATTCATCACCAAGGAAAAAGCTCTTCCAACTTTTGTTGTAGTGACCAGTGTTATTAAACTCAACTTCACAATTAAATTAACAAGTCGTCAAGCTTTGTACAAATTTATTTTAATCAATGTTTCTGAAAACTATTCAAATCTTTTCACATTTGAAACAATCATTGTTTACTTGTCTCACATAGTCAATATAATTGTCAAATTCAAACTAAGATCCTCAAGCATGGAATCACTAAAATCACTAACTCACTAAGCTTAATTAACTTGTGCACGTCAAAAGTTATACTTATTGTTGTATGCTGTTTTGTTCATGAGTTGTTGAGAGAATAAGATTTTAAATGGATGATCATATTGCTTGTTACTCATAGCACATCAACTTAAGGTATGACCATGTAACCTTCTTTTATGTATGTGATTTCTTCATATTCTACGTGTAAGACTTATGGGACGGCAATAGGAAGCCGTGAGTCCAAGTTCCGCCTATGTAAATTGATGTTTTTGGAGAGGAGGGTGTGTGTAGAGTGGTCTGGTAGTTGCTGGTTAATGTGTTAGGATTCATTTGAATGTATTGTATCACTGTTAGTAACAAGAGGGGTTGAATACTATGAACGCCAATCGATTTGAATGTCACTTGAGTTTACGCCCACCATGTGTTTGTTGAATTGATGACCCGGCTTGGATGTATCAGGTAACTGCCTATAGTTGAATTTTCATTGTCTGTTGTTTTATATTTAAGGAGCAAGGGATAATTCAGTCGTTGATGTATGTTAAAGGACTCAAATCAAGGTATGTGAAGGCGCCCCTTTCCTCCATTTTTCAAGCACGAATCTACGTTGTTGATGGTGTAAGAAACACAAGTGTCTGAATAAATATTTTGAAGAATGTCAAAGTGCCAAGTTGCATAGAACAGGCTGTATTGACATGGTCTAGCTAAATCCAAATCTAACTGGGAAAAGGGTGTTTTTATGTAATTAAGGAAAACAAGGATAACTGTGTGTGAGTTTTCTTTTCCAGCCGAGTAGAAGTCCAAGTCGAGTTCAACAAGACTTCGAGGTGGCAAAGACAAAAGTTTATTCAAACAAGGACTCGGTGGAGTTTTTGATGTATAAATAGGGGGTTATTTTTATCAAAAAAGTTGTGCACTTACATTGAGAGTAATATCAAAACACGATCAAAAGTTTGTGAGAGTTTTAAATTTTTATTTTTGGGGAGTGCTGCGGTTGAGAGAAAAATTGTACAATTGATGACAAGATTTTTTTGTTTAAAATCAGAGTTTTGAGAGTAGGTATCGTTCGACAAGTTGAAGAACAATAAAAGACTTAAAATCGGGGTTTTTTGCCTTGGGATAGAAAAGAATTAGAGCTTATAATTCATTAGAATACATAGTTTTGTAATTGTTGTGTTATTTTAAGGTTTATAAATAATAATAGATTGTGTTGAGTGTATTGTCATAAGAAATTATTTATTATTAAATGTCAAATAAAGAGGAACAACCAATGAATACGTGTTCCTTTATAGAATTCAAGAGGGTAGAATTCTAACAAGTGGTATCGGAGTAGGTTATCTTAATCAAGAGTCTAATAACTCAAGATAAAAGATCAATATGAGTTCTGCGCCTCCTCTTGGACATGGCCATTGACAACACATCAACAGACCACCCTTATTCAATGGCCAATACTACTCATGGTGGAAGACAAAGATGGAAGACTTCATTCAAGCTGAATACTATGAACTATGGATTAGAATCCAGATGGACCGTTAACACCCTACTATTACGGATAGTGAAGGAAATACTGCACCAAAACCTAAAGAGAAATATGGAGAAGCTGACTACAAGATGTCGGGAAAGAATGCAAAAGCCAAATGCATTCTTGTATGTAGTCTAGAATCTGATGAGTTTAATCGCGTCTCAAGTTGTACCTCTGTGAAAAAATATGGGAAACTTTACAGAACGCTCGTGAAGGTACAACTCAAGTTCGAAAATTCAGAATCGCCTGACTATGCTCTAGATATGAAACCTTCAAGATGAAATCCGGAGAATCACTTCAAGACATGATCACTAGATTCACTATTGTGATAAACAAGTTAATCTCCTTGGGGAAGGTATACACCACTGAGAAACAAATAGACAAAGTACTTAGGACCTTGCCTAGATCATGGGAAATAAAGGTTACTGCGATCAGACAAGCCAAGAGAGAAGGTCGAAATTGAGCCCTTGAAGTGAAGTCTTGCTCCACCCAGGTTCGAACCTAGGCGGGAGCAATGATTTAATGTGACTTTTTTTAATTGGTGAATTAATTTAATAAATTAATAATTAATGGCTGATTTAAAAAAGGAAAATCAGATTTTATTATTAATTATTATTTATTTACTAATTAATGTGTTTTTATGACTAAGTCTCCTAGTTGATTAAGTCTAAACTACTTCACTTCTTTTAACTCTCTCTCACGCTCATCTCTCTCACGTTTCTTCACTCTTTTCACGTTCTATTTGCTAAAAAAACACAAGAACTGATCAAAACTAAACGTTTTTTACACTTGAAGAACTTTCACGTTAAAAACTTATTCAAACATAGCAAAAAACGTTAGGCAAAGAGAGGAGTTTTTTCGTCAAGATAGTGTTGAAGCTTTTGGACTTAGACGTGTTCTTGGGAGGAGTTTTTGGGCAGCAAGTGAAGGTTTTAACGTCAAAAAGGTATGAGTTTTCTTCTCTCTTGGTCCCTTTCCCAAGAGACCCCTTAAGGTTCATATTATTCATCCGAAAACTGAATTGTTTTCCCTTTTGTATGCCCCTGTCACTAGCTCCTAATGAATCGTAGATTGGGTATGATTTCCGGTAGATTTAGGTATATGTTATGTTTTCGTGATGATTATGATTATATTTGTGTACTTGAAATTGTATGAAAGACAACCATGTATTTGAATGTTTGAGCAAGTATGTGCATGTCAAAATGTTACTGTGAATGAAGTTTCGGGTTAAGGCTTCAAGTTTGATATTGTTTTGATTGTCATTTTACGTGCATAAACCTATGTAAATCGTGATGTTCATTAAAATTGAAGTGGGGCTGATTTGAGTATCAATTTTTTGTCTAAATGAATCTATGAAATACACCCCAAAAAGTGTTACATGATCCATGAATTTTACTAAGTTTTCAAATGAAACTATTGGTGAAAATAAGCTAAGAAAATGATTAAGTTTCCAGCAAAAATTATAAGTTTAGTTTAGGCTAAAGTTTAGAGGAGCTTAAACTAGACCTTTCTTTTTAACCCCAATTGATCTTTTCTGAGAATAATGTGTTGGCCCTAGTCCCTCCTTGGACATGTGCACCTCAGCTTATGCCAAAAGCATAAGTTGAGGGTGGTTAATGCAATAAACAACCCTTTTTATGGCCGTGACCCAACTTTGGGTACTGTGTACTTTGACTCATGGCAAAGCCATGAGTTGAGGGTGACTATTATGAGGAATGCTCTGAAAAGTGGGGTTGAAAGAACTAAGAGAGAGAAAGAACAAAAGTAAAGTGACTCAAGAATCAGTTGAAAGAAAAGTGAAAAAAAAATACAAGAAATACAAGCAAGAAAAGAAGAGAGTCACTTACACAAATGAAGAAAGAAGGGAAAATAGCAAGGTGAAAGAATATGAGAAGCTGGGCGAAATAAAATGATAAAAAGTTGTATGTTTATCCGATATGTCAAGGAGGACAAAAAGTCACTAAAGTATACCTAAATATACCCTACCTGACCCTGAGCCTATAGCGAACTTAGAGTAGTGAAAATAAGGGCAAGCTTATGGCAATATGTATGAATGAGTATGAATTTGTTCTGAGAGTGAGTGTTAAAAAGTAATCCTTATACTAAAACTGAAATCATTGTGTGAAAAATGAGGATATTGTTTTGAAGTGAGGACACTAGTTGCAATACCGGAAATATTAGCACCTCGGTGAGAAATTGAAGAGGATAGGTGTTAGTGCATGGTGAGTCTGTGTCATGGTCTGATTCCACATAATTCAAGCCTAATAGTGATACCATGCATAAATATGATGAGACTAATCGGTATTGATAGCCAAATGATTGCAAAAGATAAAACATGGATACTATTGTACAAAAATTTTGTATTGAGTCATAGTGCGTTGCTTGAGGACAAACAACGAATTTAAGTTGAGGGTGTCGATATACCGTGATTTCACGGTATTTTTAATACTTTTTCCTTAAGTTTAGTGTGTCCAAAAGCCTTTTTGTACTAATTTTTATGTAAGTTTCTCTTTATTTGCAGGAAATCTGTCTAAAAAATGAATGCGAAGGTTTTTGAGCGAGAAATACAGAAAAGTACCACTTACGGAGCTTGTGACGGTTCGTCGTGCCTGTGACGGTCCGTGGGTGGCATCGTAGTGCAACTGCTGAAGGAAGATGGGGAAGTCTGACCAAGTGTGGGGTTACGGAGTGCGTGACGGACCGTCGTAGCCATGACGGTTCGTCCTGCTGGTTCGTCATGAAGATCAGAGAAGTAGTCCAGTACCCAAATTTCAAGAGTTTACGTGTTATGAAACGGTCACCCCCGACAGACCGTTGTGCCTGTGACGATCCGGCATACCTGCCGTCGAGGGTGATGAAGAGAGCATCAGAAGAAATTGCACAAGTATGGACGACGAAGTCCATGACGGCCCATCGTGACCACGACGATCCGTCGCGAGGTCCGTCGACCCAGCCGCGTTTTGACAGATTTACAGCAAATAGAGTCCTTATGTAATTAGGTTTTTATTTTTATAAATAGTTCAAAAAACCTTGTTTTTGGGGTTAGACTCTTGATTATTTTTAGACTCTTTGTTAGACTCTTGGTTATTAGACACTTTTATGTTATATTCTTTGTGAGGAGATTATTTTGATTATTACACTTTGGATTGTTACACTTTTCTCTAGAGTTGATTGTTGGAAATTTTGTCGATTAATCAAGTAAATTTCTGGATTTTATTCTTTCTCATTGAAGTAAGTGCATGAATTCTTATATCATATATATGAATATTGTGATTATGACTATGGGTAATTAAACTCCATAACTAGGGTTGTGGGAACCATAGGCGAATAATGAGGTAAAACCTAACTAAAAATAACAATTCTAGAACAGTGTCTTACATGTATTGATAATTATTTCGCTTAGAAGTCTTTTTAACGGATGATCAACGTTAGAACTCGCCTTAATGCTACTTGCCGGACCAAGGAGATAGATAATAGGAAAATAATTATCAACATAGATTTAGTGTATACTATCTAATAGGCTAGTATTGATTGGTACGAGGTAATAACTTAGTCAAATATCAAATACGATGCTTAATATGAGGTAAAGGTAAGGGTTAATATAGTAACACACATAGCCGGACCAAGGTGCGGAGTGAAATTTTCTAAATGCCGGGCCAAGGATTTTGAAATACATAACTTATCACTTTGCATGCAAGATACTAGGAAAAAATTGTTATAGTTAGAATTATCAAGTTATGAACCTGTGGAGAACACGTAAACCCTAGTTACTTTTATTAATTGATTAAACTCCAACATTTAAAGCTGTTAGTTGTCTCCTTTAATTTCTCTAGTTATTTTCATTTATTTAGAAATAGAAAACCCCCCTTTTATCGTCTTTGCTTTCCAAGGAAGTAACTGACTGAACAATAGTAATAATAGATTGAAGTTAAGTCTGAACTATTTTCCTCGTGGGAACGATCCCAACCTCATTAGTTGGGTTCTTTACTTGATACGACCGCTTTACTTCTTATTTGAGAAGTAAGTTTGAGCGTATCAAGTGTCATGCAATCATGAACCCCATAAATAAACAAAATTATAAAAATTATTCATTTTTATTTCTTCCCCTTAATTATGTTTTATCAAATTTGTAACTTTTTTTTGGAACTATTACATACAATCAAAAAAAATTTCTTATCAACAACATTTTTAAAAAGTTATAATCAACATTGGGAATAAGAAGTATTAAATTTAATGGCACCGACTATATTGCCTCTTGTGAAGCACCACTGTTAGCTTAGAAAAGAAAAAGTCAACAATATATTGTATCATAATAGGTGTCTCACATAACCACAAAAAATTACAAAAATAATTTATGTACTATGTTATACATGCTCAAATCTTGTCCATAATGAAGTGTTTTGGGTACATTTTGCGGTTTGGATCTTCATTTCAATTTTTCTGTATATGCATTCTACTCCTATTAAAAATAAGAGATTATAAGATTAATTGTCTCTGGACAAATTCAGTATAGACTTTATATCGCCTTTATGTGGATGAAAATTTTGGGGAGAAATAGAGAAAGAAGTAGAAGAAGGAGGCGGGAGATTTGAGCAAGAGAAATAGGGTTCTAGTATTTTAGAAGAAGACAATTTGTGGATGGTTGGGTATATTAATAAATATATTTTATAATTTTATTTATTTGTGGGTCCATTAATTAAATGGCATAAAATATATCTTATTTTGTCATGTCAGATTTATTTTGATAACAAATATAGTTTAATGATTTTAGAAGATAAAAGTGTTAAGTTGAGTAATTTTAGTGATACAAAATAAAATTTAGTGACTTTACAAGATAAATTCTCATTCAGCGACCTTTTAATTATTTGTGGATTCTAAAATTATTAGTCAGTTGTTAATGTTAGGATCGAATCCCCCCACTTGATGAATGAAGAACACAAGAACTTTAGAGAAAGAGATGAGAGATATAGAGAGAGAAATAGAGAAACCAATAGTTCGTGGTAATACCCCGTGAATAAACTTCCACGGTGATGAGGTATATATTAATAATTTAGAATATAAACAGTAATTTATGAGGTTCCACGACCTAATAGGTAATCCAACAGATCAACAACCTCAATGTCTCTTATTTAAAAGGCTGATTTTTATTGTTTGAACATATAAAAAAAGTTGGTCAAATCTTTGCCTATCTGCAGGCCTAAACTATATATCAAAATAGTGAACTGGTTCAAACCAAACTTCAATTTTCTCAAGCTCTATGTTGATGGATTCTCCAAAGGAAATACTAGTACAGCAGGAGGTGATGGAATACTCAGAGATCATATGGGCTACATGGTCATGTCATATCCTGAATTTTATGGGCAAAGTAGTAATAATTATGCAAAGGGGATAGCTATTTTATTGGGTATTCAATGGTGTCACTGAAATAACCTTAATCAAGTCATTGTAGAATCAGATTCTATGTTGACTATCCAGATGATCATGGAAGAAATACACATTTCTTGGCAAAAAACTTGAAGTCTCTTTTTTCTTCTTAAAAATACAGACGTAACATTTCACTCCATTTCTAAAGTACAAGGAGAATCAAACAGCAGCAGCCTTAACATGAACCAAAAAGAAACCCAAAACAAATGAATAAATGAAAAGAGTGAGATCCATACAAACTAAAGCATCAACATACTTTGATACTTTCTACCATTTCTCATGCTAATTGGTAACTCCGATCCGATCCAAACCGAAGCCAATAACAACAGTAGTAATAATCAAACACGGTATCTCACAAGAGGATCCTTAAGAATAAGACGTTCGTGATAAACTCTCCATGCATAATCCTCGAAAGAAAATGAATTGAACATTTGACTTTCCTCCTCTACCGCTATAGTTTTTGAATCATTGTTGCCAAGGCCATCATCATCTTCGCTAAGTGATAGCGATTTGATACGAAGCAAGGGAGAGACAGTGTTTTCATGAGCTAGTGTAACTAACAATGTCATTGATAGACAGTGTGAGTTACTACTACCGCTGTTGATTTCACCATTAGTTATAGGTACTGGTCTTCCTCTCACTTGTTTCACCTTTCCATTACTCCATACCTGTCCATTATCAACAAAAATTATAGTTAATCTCAATTTGACAACACTTAAAATAGGAGCAAATAACATCATTTTTACACTGATATAATAAGTTCAATCAATCTATAGTTTTACCAACGCTGCAAATTTCGTTCATTTTTATTTGACAGCTCCGTATATTTTTACTAAACTAACTTTGCAAAAATTATAAGCTAGGGGTACCCAATATTATTCCTTTCAATTGACGTTGAACAACCAACTACAAAATTCATACTTAATTAAACGTCCAAAATCTTTTAATTCTATTACTTGTGCCTTTTAAGTTAAGCAAAATAATGCAAATTATGTCACAATCATTAAAAATACTTTGTCTGTAGCCTATCGATATATCCTGTAGGTAGAGAATAAAGAAGTGTGGAGTTAAAAGGGTAAAAAAAATTGTCACAAATTCCAAAAGGGCATATCAATTTTTTTTTAAATCAAAACGGTAAAATCGCTCACGATGTAGCGACTTGTAACTTTTGAAAAAGCGAAATCGCTGCAATAGCAGCGATTTCTTAAATTTGTCTTTTCTTTTTTAAAAAAATAAAATTAAACAAATCGCTCCACCCGGAGCGATTTTCAAAATAAAATAAAAAAATTTCTATAAGTCACTGCAGAAGCAGCGACTTCCATCAATTTTTTGTTTTTTTTATTTTTTGCTTTATTTAAAAGAAAAATTGATTCAATTTTTTTAAAAAAAAATCAATTAAATGTTGAAAAAAAATTAACCGATTAAATTAAGTTTTCAAAAAAAACTAAAATTTAAGTGTAAAGCAAAAAATG